TCCTGCAAGGGAAATTGTAAACTGTCCGGCCAAAAGGTAGATTTAATAAACTATTTATGAAACTACATATATTCTGAATTTATCTGTTGTTTAATTTAACTGAAGCATTGGATATTTTTATTCCCCTCAAATCATATAGATACACGCAATATGAATGAAATATATAACACTTCATTTGTGGTAATAATACTCAGATTCACGTTTTATCGGTAACGTCGGGTATTAACACTAAAATGGTAACAGGGTTGCGTAACATTAGGAATTTTCACTCACCTGTCGTTATGATTTAGCTAGCAGTTTCAGCGAATTGCCACGGGTGGCGTCACCGGTCCAGAAAATAGTGGTATTCCGTGATTAAATGCGATTTTAAAAGTGTTCTGGTCGTTTATTGTTATTGTCAATGACAGGGGATTAATCTACGTTCGTTCAGCTTCAAACTGAATGCTTGGTCAAGACGAAAGCTGTCAGCATAACATTGGAAGAGTTGTCCAAAGTGAACTAAACGGGGTACGCCTGACGAAATACAGTGCAAACCGTTACAAATAATTGTGATTTTAACAATGTTATTGTAATTACTAGTTCCAAGCCGCTAGGAAGTACTAATGTACGTTCTTTAAACTTCGAATCTAATGCGTGACGAAGAAAAATGATGCCCGTTCAACGGTGTAAATGCGATCGAAGTCTGTTGCAATTAGGGTTGCCTCTGCATAATATAGTTTAATTAATTCTGGGGTTCTGCAGTATTGGGTCGATGCATTAAGTCCTCAGGAATCTTTTGAGACTAACGACGTTCATTTTGAGGGCTTAATTACTGAGATATTCACCGAAGAATAGTTGGCGCGGAATATTAGTATTTCTTAATAATTTTTATCTTATAAAATTGCTCCCATCGCAAATATTATATTTAATGAGATATTCGTAAATAGAACACGAGACACAAAGTCCGATAAGATAATAAATCTATATTTTGTCTGTGCTACAATAGTAATATTAGACACGTAACAGGTCAACAAAAGTCACTCTTTCGATTGGGTCAGAGGTAAACGATCAATGAACGTATGGTTTCATATAAACCTCATATTTATTTAAAAAGGATGTACAGAGTTTTGTTTGCAAGTATCAACAGCGAGACTCGGCAAGAGCGGCGCACGGAACAAGAATATCACACGTGTACGAAATGAAAGAGAAATAAAAGACAAAAAACTGTTTTGTTATCGTCGATTAAAAAATCCGCGGGTCGCAGCATCCAAGCCGAAGTCTCGATTTCACATATACAGGGCGTCTCGCAATTGTTCACGGGACTATGTGTGGGTACGTATGTCTGTGTGCGCGCGCGCGCGCGCGTGTGTCTGTGTGTGTGTATATGTTCGTGCGTGTATGAAAAGGAGCGATACTGATCCTCTTCGTTTGAATGCTGCGCAGAAAAAGTGCTTCTTCCATTCGTGACAATGCATTATAGTTTCCATTCGCGGATACGACAATTGTTGTCGTCGTGCTGTCCCCCCGGTTCGCTTCGATTTAAAAAAAAAAAACAAAAAAAAATAAAATACCGCCTCCCATCCTACGGAGGTTCTCGGGAAACGTTTTACTGCGATATTGCTCTCTCAATGGGTTTCTTTGGCAAAACTTATTACACATAGGTCGTCGTTTACAATTAATAAATAATAAAGGCAATTAAATAATAATATAATAATAATAATAATAAAATAATGATAATAATATAATAATAATTAGAATAATAATAATAATAATCGGGTGTGATAATAATGAAGAAAAAAAATAGCGATAATAGCAAATAGAATAATTAATAATCATCGTTATGATAATAGGTAATAGAGTAACAATGTGTTGAAATGTACGCAATTACGTGAAAAATTACATAATCCCCGACAATCGTATAAATCGCGCTGAGAACGTCGGATCGAATCGTCGTCGGCCGATCGCCGACCAATCGTGCTGGAAATTACACCGTTTCAAACGAGAAAAGACGAAGCTAACGTTTTTCTTCCCCTCGCGACAATGAGGGTTACTACGTTCGGCGAAACAGAGGATGAATACAACTCGGATCTCTCGCAGCCTCGAATTTCTAACAGGATCGCGTTTTTCCTTTCTCTCTATCTCTCGCTCACGCTCTCCCTCTCTTTCTCTCCCTCTCTCTCATTCGATTTTCTCCTTCTCTCGCCGCTTTCCATGCCCCCCCGTTTCTTTCTGCACACGTTTCTTTTTGTTTCTTCATTGTTCACGACACGCAACGCTACGATACGACATTTTTTTCGAAACAGCAATTAATCGGTAATTAAAGATCGCAGCTGTCGATCCTTCGTCCTTCGCGACGGAAACGTAACGAACACCAAAAGATCGCAACATCGGGATGAAAGGGGCGAAATATTCCATGATCGTGGGTGAAAGATTTTCGAAAAAAAAAAAGTCGGCCGCGATCGATTCGATGCGTTTCCCGTCGATCTGACGCTCGGATCGATGAACGATCTGAACCGTGTATGCGAGCACGCTTCGGGATCGACAACGTTTTTACGTTTCTTTAGCGGCGCGCGAGCCTTCGAATTGGAAATTAAATATTGATAATTAAATACCGAAAATACGTCGACGGAAACCGTGAAAGACACCGTGCCAGGGCGATCGATGCACACGTTCGAATAAAATATCCACGAACGGAATAAAGAAAACGTGAAACTTCAAGTAGACCCTCTGCTGGATCGTTCACGCAGCGATGCGCTCGAAAATAATTCGTTAATTATATGAGATAACTGTGATGCGAGCTGGGAAACCAATTTCACAGTGTAAAATCTCTCGAGCGCGACCGTGCGCGCGATTCATTGATAAATCTCCACGACGCCGAGAAGATCTGGCCGCTTCTAATTGATCGCGATGATTATGAAAAACGTTAATTAAAATCGTCGTATTTTGACGTTATCCATTGCACCACTTGCATAAAGTATCTTATAAAACAGAACGAAATCATCTTTACATACTGTACAACCCCGAAATTAAATAGAAAACGAATCGATAAATAAATACACGCTAAAAGATTAAAAGAAAAAAAAAAGAACGAATTACAAAATACTTGTACAAATACGCGGGAAATTCAACTTTACGGGACGTGCGCGGGCGCTAGCGATAAATTTCCTTATTAAGATTACAAAATTAACATTCTCGTCCGTTAATCAACGAGAAATTGCGAGCACGTAACATCTCATTAAAGTATGCCGTTTGCCGGACGCTAATTACGAGCTTCGTGAATGGTTACGTTCTTTTTTTATCGCGCGCCTTTTTCGAGCGTTCCGCACGGCGCGATGCCGGAAGTGAACTGGACTTCCGTGATACAGCGCGAGGAAGCGTTGAACGCGAGAAATGGCTCGATTAACCGTTACGGAGGAGTCCAGTCGCTCCGTGTTTTTTAGAGATTTATTTAAAAAAAAATAATTCATTACGTGTTCGCAAAATATTCACGAATGATCCACGATCGACCGTACGCAGTTTCGGTCAATGGCAGGGACTTTTGTTTTATCCCCGATCGCGCGCCATTAACCTATCGCTTAACGCGCGCGCACCATTTCGCCTTTCACGTTTTCCCAGCCATGAAATTCACGATTCGCGCCCGTCGATCCAGCGCGTCGCTCGCAGAGCGTGTTTATCGTGTTACAGATCCCAGAAACGTGTATTTTTGTCGCCTCGAAACCGCCGCTTAATAAACCGTGCGTATATCCCGCCCATATCTCTGTTTGGAGTCGCGCTACGGCGTGAAACACGCGCGGCTCCAGTACAATACTCGTGTCGGCGATCCGTGTCTCTGTGGTCTTTGGTTTCTACAAAAAATATATATAATATCCTTAACAGTTAATGATCGTTACGTCGATTCCTGATTTAAAAATCTCAATAAACTTATCGGTTACGGTCCTACGATATACTCTATGTCGAGTACACGTCCTATAACGCCATCGCGGAAGGAATGTGCCCGTAGTCGGATTTCTTTCGTCTTTACATTCTCGCTTCGGTCGGGAATGCACGGGCACACACGAACGCGCTGTTCGGATTCTCGGAATTATTCTAACTGAGGATCGTTAAATTAAACTACCTACTTGGTTGGTTACGCGCACTCTAAACAGAGTGTGTACCGACACTGTCCGCGTGGGCCTTGATGAGGGGAAACATCGTAATCTCGCGGCTCGACCGCGTTCTTGCTTCGGGGCCAGACACCCCGAACTCCCTGATCGGTCGAGTCGTTGACGTTCGTTGAAAATTCTCACGGATAATCGTCGACGATAGGCGTAATCCCTAGCAGGCGTCTTCCTTTTATGCGGGTCCTCGTCCAACGACGATTAACCATTATACACACGTGTTATCTGCACGATCTCGATGCCCCCGATTCCGATGCAAACAATCCTCGATACACGATCCACCAACTGTTCCTGTCGCGGTTAATATTTCATCGTCGAGTAAAGGGGTCCAAGTCTCTATCTCTCTCGGGATTGTCGGTCGACAATGTTGAATGTTCCTTAGATACCGCATGACGCCTCAAAGACGCCAATTTTACGGCTATTTTAGGTCTAAGACGCCTTTACGACGTCTTTAAGGCGACACATGTTATCTGGCTCGCGACTGCGTTTTCGTCGTCGGGGTGCTCGTGTAAAGAGTTCGTTATCGTCGATTTCACCGGAGAACGGCCCGCGGGGTGTCTGGTCGTGTCGGTTCGGACAGTCCCTTTCGCGATTCCATACGAGAAACGGTACGTGTCCCGATCGTATTTCCCCGAATTATCGATCGGGCCGCGGTGTTCGGTAAAATAGTCCCCCGGTGTTCTCGTTCCGTGGACAAGAAAGGAAAAAAAAAACAAGAGAAGAAAAAAAAAGAGTATAAGAGAGATCATTGCTTGGATATCAGCGTGGCTCTTCGTTGATATGGCGTCCATCGGTTGCTGGTCGCTGTTGTTGTTGTTGTTGTTGTTGTTGTTCCCACACACCAGGAAAACACTCTGCCCGGAGTTGGTCTCCTGTACCATCGAGCAATTAGGCCAGATAGAGATCGGTCGGCGTGGACGTGTGATCCGGTTTCGTGCACGCGCTTCCGGTCGGCGAGGCTGCGCTCGCGCCGCTGCTCGCCCTGGTTGCCGCCAATGGCGAGCGACTGGCCACGTCCGTGCTGTTCTCTGGCCCGCCGTTGTTGTTGTTGTTGTTGTTGTTGTTGCATCCGCCGCCCTGCTGCGAATTGTTGTGGGAAGACGCCAGCGTGTCCCCGTTACAGTAATAGTACGTGGAGTCTGGAAGAACCACGGGCGAGAGATCTCTCGTTAGTTCGGTGACGACCGTACACGATGCCATTTCGCGTTTCAATCTATGTATGTGCTAACGTATTTTACTACGCGGACTCGGGGTTGTTTCAAGTGTGCAAGAATCGTCGGGTGCACTTGTTCTCTATAACCCTTTAACGCTCAGACACTTAAATTATTATTCCAAAATAATCAGAATGATACAGAGGGTGTCCCATTTAAATCGACTCACTCGAATATCTTCGAAACTGTTGACGATATTACAAATGTTTCAGACGAGAACGTTAGGTGGTATCAGGGGGTAAATTGACCTTCATACGAGCCTCCGCGCATTCATATGTAACGTTTGTCCGGAATATTTTTTAACATCGTCAAAAGTTTCGGAGGTATTCCAGTGAGTCGATTTAAATAGTACACCCTGTATATGTTGTATCTAGTTATTTTGAAGTTGAAAATATAGGTATTAAACCAACTTATTCCTTTAATTTAAAAAAAATTTATGTTTAGCTCTTTAATGTCCGCAGACTTTCAGGAAAATAATTATTTCCTGCGATTAGTTAACTCAAAAATGGTCACAATACGTGCATCTCGCTGTATTTGCACGACGGAACCTCTGGAAAAATGATTTCTTAGACGTGAAGTATACGTGACACCGAGCGTTAAAGGGATAAGGGCGTTTTAAGAGGACAGTTGCTATGCAGGAGTAAAGGCAGAAATTTTGGGAGTCGAATCGAGGAATCTGACTAGTTATTTTGAAAAAAGTATACGTGAAAGTTGCGTCAACATCCTTTTGACTACAAGGATACAACCCTATCGTTTTTTACTACATATATCGGGAACAATTTGAATTTCCCTTCATCGCTCCAGTTCAGGGTGTTTAAAATTTCAGCATTCGAATTCGATCGCCATCAAAATGACTGGTCAGATTGTTCCTAATAGTTCAAACAAACTAATCGCTGATTTGACGGTTTACAGTCGAATTTAAATTTCTTTTTTTCCACGTGTCTCAGACTATTTTCGTACCAACTCGGTAATGTATTCCGTGGTGTTGCGAAACGGCGCGTTCTAAAAAGGGGAAAAGTTCGACTCGCGAAACTTCGGTTCCATCGGGGCGTCGAGTGGCGCGGCCGTGTTACGTCACACGCACAAGGAACGAGCCGGGGAACGTATCGCGTGTCCGATAAGAAAAAATTGTTTATTATTCCGTTCATTCTTATGCGCCGAATGCATTTCACCCGGAGGTATCGCGATCTTTCGAGGTGTTCGCAATCGTCCGTTATGAAATGCGCGGGGCGAGCATTGCGGGCCGATTTGAAACCGGCGTGCACCGCGGGCTTTACGCCCCGCCCCTCCACGCCCCTCGATCTTTATCCTCGGCCGTGTCTCGAAACCTAATGGAACAGGGTTTCTTCAGTTTTAGAAAGCGCGAGATCACGATTCGATCCTCGAAGTCTCGTTATCTTGGGCCCCGATGGTCGATTATCACGCGGACAATCCGACACGAACAGTTTCGTGTATACGTTCGATTCACGCGGTCTGTCTATACGAGTTAACACTTGGCATTTTTCGTTTGACCCTAATCTAATCGGCACTCATACTCACTGTTTACTTACTGAGCAACCCGCTTGTCGCTGCTCCATAACCGTAACCGCTGTACGGCGCGCTCGAGTATTGGGAATACGCCGCGCTGTACGCGTAGTCACCACCACCTAAACAAAATATTGATAATTTACACGTTAAATAATTGGATATCTGAAATTGTTCGTTGAATTTAAATTGTATGATTACGGTAGCTCGACTGTTGGTATTAGTCGAACACAGGAATATGATACGAATTAGACCACGGGAATGTTGATTTACACAGGGTGTTCGGGGATAATGGTTCGAAAGTTAATGGAAATTTTGTTTCTGAATCGACTAGAGATTATGCAGTTAACGTGATACGGGAAATCGTCGATGAGTGCTCGAAGGCCCCTCGGCACTGAACATTGAATATTTCCTATGTGACAACAAATATAATTGGCTTGAGAATTCCAAGATCTATCACTGTGATAAATCTCATTAAAAAGTTAGCGTTACACCTGGGGATCTCTCCTTGTCAGTGTTCAAGGAGCTTTCGAACACTCATCGATGATTTGCTGTAGTTTTCTTTATAAGAGTATCTGACTCTAGTATGAGTATCGTCGATTAAAATAGAAAAACAAAAATGATCGTATCAGCAAACAACAGAGCTTGCGTTTATCTACACAACTTTCGGCTGGCTGCTAAGCTGGTAAGTCAGAGGCCGTGGGACAGGTCTCTGACTTACCCTCTGCGGGAACTCTGTGTTCCCCGCAGAAGGTTACAGCATCCGCGTCTTACCCACCCCTGGTAGAGGGGTGGCTGTGTGCCTGTATGTGTCGGTTTTGTACTCACCGGTGGCGTAGTGTCCGAAACTGGGAAGCATCGTTGAGTACGGCGGTATCGCAGATGCTACCTGGGGCTGCGAAACTGGCGGCTGCAAGACCGTCAGTCCGGGATCGCCTCCAGGGGTGTTGGGGGCCGCGGGGGTGGCGTTTGTCTCGTTCTGCAACGAAATCGGGGGACTTTGCTCGCCCCCACCGGCCCCCACCCCGACATACGACACTGCGACGGTACTGCTCTCTGCTATGGCCATGCACAACACAACACGACATTCGAGTCAAGCACTAGCTAACGATCAGCGCCTTACGTCTAAAGCTTAATTAAATTGTCGTCTGGACCAAGGAAGGTGGGGGATGGTGGATAGGTGGATCGTACGAAGGCGGTGGTGACGATGATTCTATGGAATTTTGCTTGTCGGTGAAACGAAACGACACCGTGGCAACGGTCTCTTTCTCTGAAGAGTAGCTAACCGTAATTGCCTACATGCGATCCCCTGAACAGGTATAATGGGGCGCAATTACGACGTACATCAAGGATCTTGACTTTCTCGAATTATCATTTGTAGGAGGATACGTGGTTTCTTTGCTTGTTCTCGTGGATCTGTTACATTTATCTTGGAAGTGCTTTATTCAGGTGGGTGATAGAGAATAGAGGATCTTGAACATCTTTCGGTACCGATCTGAATATGGATGATGGATGTATTATTCAGTACAGTACGAATCTTGGTTTTCTAGGATTATCTTCGGTAGGCGTTACAATGGAAAGTTTCTTTTTTCATGGTAGTTGAGTTACATTTATCGTGGGAATGTTTTACTCGGACAAGAGTAGAGAGTGGAGGATGTTTAACAGATTCCGTTACAAATTCGATCGGGAAAAATGAGTGCAATTAGTTTGTTCATCGCGCTTCTTGATTGTCTCGAATTAATTATCAAAGGATCGAGGACTCGTTAGGTTACTTGTCTTGGGTGTGTTTCATGGGGTCAGACTCGAGGATAGAGGATACGCTAGGAACATGTTTTTTTGTATATATTTGAAACGCGCACCGATAGCGACGGTATACGCATGGATCAGTTTTGGATACGCGTGTATTCGAGGCATTAAATCGTAATTCGGTAACGCACAGGTGTACGCTACCATAAGTGAACTAAAGAGGTGGCGAACTCACCGGTGGTGTGGTAAGGAGACATGTTAGCCCCGTCCAATGTTTGGCTCAATTTTAGTTCTTGCATCGTCAGTGGTGCGAGCGGCGTCAAAGTACCACCTGCTATTAAGGGATCCCCATGTTTCCGTTATTTGCGATTCTCGTATCGTTGGCTAGCGATCAAGGCGGAACGTCGACCGATACAATTCGCGGGACTACAATCTTCGAGCTCTATTTTATCATCGAGACAATGGGTAGGGAGTGTTTAATCGATACGACATCGAAGTTTCTCTTGCTCCTCGAATTAATATCTATCGTCGATATTTCGATCGTGCGACCAAAGAAAGAAGAATTAATCTTCTTCTGCCCGGGGTCTTTTAGAGACTCGCGAACCAGGGGGTGGAGTTTGTCTCTCGCGAACAACTCGATCAAGAATCTCGGGAACGGAACGGCTCGCGGGCTCGTACATATTAACGGCGGAAGCCAGCAAGCCGTGGAATCGACTTGGCCCCCGGGCTGTCGTCCTTCAAAAATTCTTCGATCCCGTCCGAAGATCCCCGATTGAATTTCATGAGATGAAGCGGCCGTTACACGCCTCGGTTCGTCCATTCCGTGAACCACCGAAACGAAAAAGAACGCTGTTACGCGCGCGCGAGCGCGGGCGTGACCGAGATATTGCTCGCAACACGTGCCCGCTAGCAGCTCGGAGAAAGTTCTGTTCGTGTGTTTCACAGGCGTGTTGCCGGTGTACGTTCGCGGCCCTTTCAATTGTGTTACTTTCCGTGGGGTGTCTTTGCCTGTACGTTCCGCCGTCGATCGTTCGCCGTTCCAAACGGCTGAAGGAAAACACGTGAAAGGGAACAGAGACAGAGAGAGAGAAAGAGAGTGAGTAAAAAGATCAAAAGCTAGAAGACTGACAAAACAAGGACCGGTTAGAGATTGAAGAATAAAAGGATGATATACCCTATTTCCACCGGGCTACGCAGGGATTGCGGGTGTCGTAAGCGAAAGTGGTCCGAGTGAAGTGCCCGAAAGACTGGGTAGGGTGTAGGTATACTAGTTATGGGGAGGGGGGGAGGATTGTGATGTAAGAGATACACCCCTGAAAAGTACCGTGGAGAGATCACCACGAAGCGGAGTGTTCCGCCACCTCTTCTGGCACCGTTGGCCGCTGCTCAGCACAGCTCATGCATTATTAAAGCCATGTATTTAGCCGATATGGGTATGCAAAGCAAGACGTAAGCCGCAATAATAAGCGTACAGGGAAGAGGGAACCGACGGAGATGGGGGAGGTGGGAATGGGGAGAGAGGAGGGTGGAGAGTGAGTCGGGAGAAGAGAAGGAATTAGAGAACGGTGAGAAAGGGGAGGAAGGTGGTCGTGAAGGTAGGGAGAGACGATGGTGGTTTGGTAGGTCGACGCGATACGGGGGTTTGGTACACGGGGCATTATATACAAGAGGTTCTCGGTGATGCACACACGCATACACACACACTGCGTCCGGGATTTTGTGCGAAGGAGGGGTGACAGAGAGGAGGGTGCCAGAGGGTTGAAAAGAGAGAGATAGATGTATATAGAGAGAGTAAGAGACAGAATCTGGTAGCTCACCTATGGTGCCCCCTATGGGCGGGGTGTAGAGATGGGGCGTTTGCGCCTGCGTCATCGTGCTGATGGTGCCCAGGGAGTCGTAGAGCTCTGCGGAGGTGGCAATCGCGTTCCCGGGGAATCCTCCGTGTTCGTAGTAACCTCCGCCGCCACCACCTCCACCACCACCTCCGCCACCTCCTCCACCTCCACCACCTCCTCCACCGCCGCCACCTCCTCCGTTTCCAGCGCCGTTCGTACCGCCGGTCGCGCCGCCACCACCGCCTCCGCCACCGAGCTCGCTCAGGAGTTTGTGTTCGTCCTTGATGCTCCATTTACTCGACCACAGCTGCAACAGAAGGCGGATGCTTGAGGCAAAGTTCGTGTGCCGGGAGAACGGGCTACTTGTTCACGAGGAACGGTTAAGATTGACTTAGGTGTCGAGCTTCCTTGAATCTTTGCTCGAGTTCGTTTCTTTCCTTTTTTTCTTTTTAGGGATGGGGAGTACTTGAGAACTCGGTACGGGATTCTATTGTTATATGCTACCCAGTAGACGGAGGTTGTTTGACTTTGAACACGAGTTATGAGTGGCGAAGATCGAGATGAGAAATGTGGATTTTAGGCGTAGATCTTGTGAACATTCTGACGTCAGTCTATGCTGTGGGAACTGATTTATACTATAAGCGATCTTTAGACGTATGATCATTTTTGTTCTTGTAGGTTGGTGAGAGAAAGTAGGTATTTACGAGAATCTTATTTCTGTTGATAGGGATGGTGGTGGATTTCAGAGGAAGCTTGAAGCTTCAGATGATTTTCTGTGTCGACGTGCGTGGAGAAGTTCTAAAATTGTAACTTTTAAATTATATTGCAACTTTTGTACAGTGATGTTGATACAACTATTAATACTAGTGACAAGTACTACAGCAACTACTGGACTACAGCAACGGTGCTGGGTTCCGTTTGAAACCCCCAATATTTCCTATTTTATAAACATTATTTTCGAACGCAATCATTCCAGATGTCCTGCTTTTTCATATGACTTAATATGAACAATTGCTAGCTTAATGAGTTAGATAGATGAAGCTTTTAAAAACTGGGTAAGAGAAAAGAGTGTTCTCAAGTTCACAAATTCTCACAAAAATATCAAATTACCATCTGAAAAATATCAGTACCTCATTTTAAAAACCATTTTCTGGATTTCCATAGAAGGATTAAAATTCTCTCATTGCAGTTATATCTAGCCACCCTACATCAAATATTCATCCCCAACCACAAAGACAATACACCACCATATACAGTCACAATTCCACCCAAAATTCCCAGACACTTACGTTCGAGTACAATTGGTCGCCGTTGTAGTTGCTCCTCTGTCTCTTCAGGTCGTCCTCGGGATGATCGTTCAGGTCTCGGTTGTCGTCTGCAATCAAAATTACCGTACTGCAGTTATCCTCCTTTGTACCCACCGAATACTAAACGATACCCCTTATCCCGGTGCCTCTTAATCGAAACCCAACTCTCTTATTCATCCGCGTATCGCACCGTCGAATAATCAACAACACACGAACGACGGAAACGAACGTTCCTGTAACCACGATCTCCCAGCGCGATCCACGCTGCTATCTGTGTCAGATGTGTCTGGGGGGTGGGTGTTGTATAGTAGCGACCGATGGTCGCGTATTACCCAGGAATCAAGACACAAATTAAACGTGGCCGGACGAAACTAAATTGAATCTGTCGGACGGGGTTGCGCGAACGGCCGCCGCTGGCCGCAGCGCGTAGACGTGGTGTGTATGGCATTGATAGATAGAGAAACAATTTCGATTCCATTATACGTCTTTATTATCTCCCGGCCATCCCAGCGGTTTAATATAGAAACAAGCACGTGGGACGAGTTGACGGTACCGTCGCTGGCTAGGGGTTGGGTGGATGAGTGGAGGAGGAGGGTGGGATGTGGACGGTCAACGGTATACCCTTTTAGTGGCCGCCGCGAGGTCGGTTGGTTGGGGAGGGGTTGGGGGGTGGAAGAAGGATGAAACTGACCAACGTTTCCAGCCAGAGTCAAGCCGGGGAGGGAGGGAAAACGGACGAGCGTTTCGAGGGGGGGGGTAGATGGTCCAACGTTCGGGTATCTCGAATAATTAAATGACCATCCGAGGGTAGATGGGTGGAGTACCTAGCATAGGGCTCGTTAAACCTCCCTGTCAAGTTGTGATTGTCCGGCCGGCCGACGGTCCCGACCATTCGACCGGCAGGGTTTGTTCCTGGACCGCTATAAACCCACCATCCCCTCCTACTCTTCACCCCCTACCACCTCCTCTCTCGTTTCAAACACGGCACACCGGGTATATCGTGGGTTTCCATGAACTTGCTTGAATTTTACGATTCGATCGGCCGAGTTAATCGTGCCCTCTGGTAGGTAGCTACCTCGTCGGGCGTTGGTTTTCGTGTAACATTTGCCACGGGCACGCCGACGCTGCTGCGCGAGGATTTCATTAGAGTTTCGGACGCGTTCGGGAGTTCGTTTAATAGGTAAGAATTGGAATTGGGTAGACGGGAATTAAAAGTCGATTAATCCTAACGAACCCGTGGCGGTGAATATATTTTCGGTGTCTAACGTAGAGAATCCGTGGTGATCTCGAAAGGTTCGTATTCATGGATTAGGTCTTAGTTCCACTAGTCACGACTACGAATGCACTACCGGTAAAAAGTATTCGACCAGAGTTCATGATTGATCGAACAGTGTAACTGATTATTCTGTTACGATATAATGAAAGTTACGGAATCAGTATGTATACAAATCATTTTCAATTAGTTTTACCACACAGAATAATAGTTTTCCCTTTCTTTTATTATGAGAGTTGGTGTCCCATAATTCAATTAAACATACAAAAATAGATATGTAAACACAGATACATCACGGAATCTGGAAATTTTGTAAATACTACGATACTGCCGTGAGAAATTTTGGTGTCTCGCGGCTAGTCTCAAGTGGAAATAAGAACTGTTAAAATTTTTTTTCTCAAAGAATTAATAGGAGATTTTTAAATAGAGAGATGAAAAATCGAGATGTATTTCGTAGGGCCGTTTGAATTTATACGATACCGAAAGGTCGAGAATGGAGGGATCCGTGGAAAGGTCTACTATAAATTCAACGCGGGTTGCCCGGTGTATGCTGTCTAACGCAAATTCTTGTAGTTTCTCCGATATTACGGTTACTGGTCCTTGACAGATTTGACAGTGGTTGAGTTATGGCGGAAGGAAGGTCAGCGTTTCTACTCCCGTTCCCCTCCCCTTCGAAAAGAGCAGTAAATCGAATAATTCGATTGATGCCCGGAGAGGGCGAAAACGTACGCGAGCGCGCCGCCCGGCGAGGCGAGTCGAGCCGTGCCGTTCGCGTTATTCGAAAGCAATTGAGTCAATGTTAAGCAATACAATACACGGGTAATAATGGACTATGGGGTGAATCTGGTCCCGGGTTGCCCGGTCCCCTACCCGTCCACCGAGCGTAGTGTATACTATATATATATATAGGGATGGGGGAGCACAACGCGCTCGGCCTTTTGGATTCCGCACGAGGGCAAAATGCGCGCAGATGTAACGCGACAACAAACAGCCCCGATAGATTGCAATGCTTCCCTCGAGAGGTTGTTCGTAAATTCGTAATAAGCCCCGGGGATTCTTCGGATTCCCGGGGACTACACGTCTTCGATACTTTCCAGAACCCATAAATAACCCGTGGACGGTCAGTGATTCGTGGACATTACCGTACCGTAACGAATTCATTTCGAATTGATTTCCCTGGTATCCTCCAAGCATGAAAAACGAAGCGGGAACACTTCTTTTTTGCCCCTGAACATCGAAATTTCTAATAGTCGATAGAAAATAATCGAATCTATCAAAAATTTTTTCTGATTTCAATTACCATTGTGTTCCCATGGGGTTAGTTTTACTTCATCGAAAATCATTTTATCGACGATCATTTCACCGACACGATTTCATCGAATTTTCATTAGCATAAATTATAATCTGAAACATGAGTTTCATGGGAAAATCGTTTTCTATATTTATCTTGTCCATTCCTGAATGATACGAGATAAAAGTTTACAACGAATTAAAAAAATCATAGGCGCCTTGAAGACGACTGAAACGCGCCTTAGGCCTAAAATAGCTGTAAAATGAGCATTTTCAAGGCTTCACGTGTTATTTATGATTCAAATAATACAGTTAAGCGTTTTTATCCAAAAATATTGATCCTGCACTATAGTATAGAAGGATCGTACCATGGATCATTTGCGTGTCCTCGATCATACATACAGTCCTATGGGACGTGTGTTTCGTGTCGGCTGGGTATATCGATTCGTACGCGGCGAGTGGAGCGATGCCGATGGTGTACGCGAGTAATTCGATATAATCGGATTATGAGAGCGGCGATATACGCGGTCGCAAAAGTGGTCGCGTCCGCGGCGAGAGCACTCAGTGTTTTGCGGCCGCGAGTAGGGGTTACGCGTATTAGATTATAAACTTCACAGACCACAAGCCGGCTTCTATCCGGTACCCAACGACACATTAGTCTCCCTCCCTCTGTCCTCCAGGGAGATCATCGATGGTATCCACCGCGGCGGCGGGCACCTTTTAACCGGCTGGAATTTCAACGAGCACGACGGTGCCCGATCACTATTGCCTGGCTGCGGTGGACGAGCGTAATATATTGTGACCGGTACAGGCGCAGAAATTTGATGAAAAAAAAAACGTGGAACAGCACTATATAGGACGGGAGCCACAGGACACCTATCGAGGGAACTGTCGTTTGTTTCTTTTTGCCTAATGGCTAACACATTTATGCGGGAAAACCGTAGATTTCAATCCTTTTTTGGCCTGCATGGGGAGCAAATTGATTCCATCTGTGGAGAATTCTAGACCCGTTTTCAACATTATCCCTTCCATTGGGAGCTTGACTGGTTCCATAGGGATACCCCCAGTGGTAGGGATGACGTCTGAACACTCAGGACCGAGGAGCCTTCGAAAACTCATTAGTTGACTATATTCTTTACGTCTGACTAATCGATGCTGATCCTACAAAATCACACGTGACCGAAGGGCTGCAGGGCGCGACGGTTGTATCCAGGAGTCAGAAGTCCTAGAATAAAAGTAAAGGGAGCGGAGAAATTCGATTCGGCGGCAACCGAGACAGAAGAGCCCCTCGGTCGTCGACCTTATTCGCACCTCGAAAAATTAATAGTCAATTGCTTCGGGCATCATTCCACGCGTATGCGCGTAACGCAACTCTGGAGTTTCTCTCCTGGTCGGAGCGTAGGGTCACGTGCACGGCCGGCACGTGTCGGGAATATTTCGGGACACGTTATTCACGCAATGACAGCAGAATGAATCGCGGCACGTGCCGTCCGACATTTGACTGATAACCTTGTCCTGTGCGCCGGGGCTAATCTTGGCCGGGATCGGCGGCGAGAAGAGCATCAAGTCGCTCGATTGCTGGCAAACAAGATGATTGGATGGGAATCTCCTTTGAATCAGATTAGAAACTGTTTACCCTGTACTACAATATCCCTCCCTCCGATAAGCTAACCACCGACCGAAATAGCATTTCAAGTAACACCATTGTTAAAGATTGATCTCCTCGGATACCGTCTCTTGGTAGATAACGATCCAGCCGACCCTTTTGTACCCGCCAGTTATATAAGATCCCTCGAATTCCAAGAGCGAGATTGGGACAATAAGATCTCAGAAATTCAACAGGACACGATCCTCTTCTCCTCAGTCAGAGGAGCATCGTTCGACCCGGTTTTCCGGAAAACCACGGGGCTTCAACTTCCCCTATTGTTCTCGATCCTCTGCAAGCGAACCGACGAAACTCGCGGCGCCGATTTACTCGGCTGTAACGGGCTCGATCCAACAAGTGATATCTTGTTTCTTGCTTCACCTTATGTAACGACCCCGAACTATTGTGAGTGAAATGTAGCCGTGGTTGCCTCGCGATCCGATCTCCGGTTTATGTAAGTACCCCCAGGAGCGTTTTTTTTCCCCCACTCTGTCTCATCGCTATAGATCGAACACCGTATGATTGTTCTTCGAACGATCTGGTTTTTCTGCATGTCGTCTCTCGGTTCCCTACGGGATTAATCCGTGACACGATTACGAGGAGTCATCGTCAGCGGAACGAAGAAGATTGGCGGAGGAGGAGGAGGATCGCGGCAGCTCTCGTATCAACGGGGTTCGGTTGATAGGGATGAACCGATCCGAGTAAATACAAGTGAATAGTCGATATGGAAGCTGATGAATCTGAAGGTGATTGTCGTTCAGTTATATCACTTTGCTAATAAATGTTCTGTTCGTTAACAATATATATCTTCGTTAAGATCAGAGATGGGCAAATTTGCTATTTAGATATAAAGAGTTCCGAATAACGAATAAAGGATAAAAAAAGTACTTCTTCATTTTTAATTGTTTAAACATATAAATTCCAATTTTGCAATGAGTCGATATTTGGCAAACAATTATTTAATTCCAGTAACCATTTAAAGTCGAGGATGACGTTCTTAGATACAGCAGCTTTCACTATTATTTACTCTACGTCACTATTATTACACATACCCATTATTATTCGAATAAAATTCTGCTCGACTCAGGTTAAAGTGTATTATATTTAAAAAAAATGGAACTGTGTATTCATTTTCCTTCGATACAAGTACGTATCGATATACGTTTGATGCGACACTAAGTAGACATCGATACTGTTTTTCAAGTTATGAGTAAAAGTATCGATACCTTGACGGTATCGGTTTGTCCCTACGGGTCGAGGGATCATCGACACGGAAGAATTCAGTGACTCACCGTCGTCGGTACGTTTCCTCTTGATGCTGTTGCCGTTCGGATCCTGATGGTGGGCCGGGATTCCCAGGATGCCGCTGATGCTGTAAGCGTTGGGAGCGGTCGCGGCCGGATGACCCGCCGCCGTCGCAGGTGCATGGGCTATCACCGAGACGGAACCACCTGATCCTGGCTGACCTTGCTGCTGACCTTGCTGCTGCTGGGCCTGCTGTTGCTGATGCGCGTGTTTGGCCTTCTCCGCCGCTTTGTTCCTCACGATCCTGCGGACAATAGGAACCCGGGTGTATAGAGTTACTTCGTCATTGAAAGAAGATCTCCTCTGAACATACGCGTGTGCATAAAGGAAGGGAAATTATGTTGGGGCGTTTCTGGACTTGTGGACATTACCGGGGGACGAATCATGTGTATGCAGGAGTAAAGAGGAAATGTAAATTAGTGGGATAATGCGTTTAATTTCTCGACTGTATTGATATTTAGTGAATAGATAGACTTTTAATAGTAGAACTACTAAAGCAGTCAAAATCAGTCTTATAATGATGATTAAGACGTTACCATAATACATTTTCTCAGATGTTTTGCAACCTTCATTTTATTGAACTTTTCAGTTAAGAAACGTTGTAACTGCCTAAACATCCACAGTCTAGATACAATGCTCCACCATGAGTATTAATTTTCAGTTTCATGTCACAAAATATATCACAAAAAAAGCGCTCGCCTTCTAGGATTTTCTGCACAACAATACAAAAAGCTAGACATCCTCTCGGGTTTTCTGCATCGAAGTCACCGGTTCACAACCTGTTTCCACCGTGATTTTACCCAACGATGACTAGAAATCACCAGATACCGATATCCTCGGGTGTCAAGGGTTACGGGATGATTAATTACGATTACGCGGATCAGTTCGCGCACAATCATTCCCCATGCGCACCTACCGTGGCCTGTCGGTGCACACGCACGCAACGCAACACCACCACGCGTCGTGCTCTTAACGTTCCCTTTAGTGTATACGCGTGAGTATACACTAAAGTAGTGTATACGCGTGAGTATACACTAAAGTAGTGTATACGTGTTGAGGACTCGTATGTCGTTCGCCATTGTTACGGACGGGGCCCCCGTCGGATCGGTTCTCCGTCTTCGATACAGAATAAGCTACGTGACTCCACGGAACAGCCTGCTGTATCATAATCGCATCAAGAAGTCGCCGTGGACATCAGGCAGCTATAACGAAGTTCTATCACTCTTCCTCAGTTCCTCTTCGTTCGTCTTTCGAGCAGCCATCCGGTCATCCAGTACTCCGACCGCTTATTACCCATGATATATTGTGCGTGCTGTTTTCAATGGTCAGCCGTCGGTATCAATTATCCCGGGCGAATATTCATGACCCATCGTTGTTAATCTCGACGTGAGTTTACCGTATACACGCGTGGCGGATAGAAGCTGGTGTTAAACGTCGAGAGGCGCCGATCGACAACGGCTACGCCCCCACGGGGCTTGCCCGGAAGTCGTCCGGTACCGCTACCGAAAGACGCGTTCAGCGAAACGTGAAGCGAGGGCTGATTTTGGGGATCGATCGAGAAACGTGTCTTGGAGTTCTTTTGTAGGGTAGACCGCCGTTGTGTCCTCAATATTTCCATGAAAGTCTGAATTTTGAGGGAATTTTTTCTATGTTTGACGGAGATTGGTGCTCTGCAAATTGTTGAATTAAGGTGATTTGTTACGTGAAAAGATATTTCACGCAGAATAGCTACAAAATCGGACATGATCATTTTCTGACTTTGGGACAAAGTTATCCTTGACCGAGTCAAAGTTACCGCAATTTACGGTAATAAAAGTGGCCTAAAATATATAATTTTTACTAAACATCACATTTTCTTCGTATAGACCAGGAAAAAGGACTGACATTGTTGGTCAATCATCAGAAAATCGGTTCGAAACTTTCGATACCGTATAGTATATTATATGTGTTTATCCGTTTCTGGTGGATTTAGTGATACCAATCGGTAACTCCTTCGATGAACGTTACGTATGTAGAATGGCCGAGTGATTTCTCATCGGGACGAGTCGGCGCGTAACGGATCGACATTAAGTCCTCCGTTTCTGTCGTGGATGTGTTTGCGGGCTAGGTAATCGTGGGGGTGCGAGCTACGGCGATCAATCAGATGACACCTGTTGCCCAATCTCCCTGGTTCGTTCGCCACCTTCGGCAATTCGCAACAATTAGCAACGATCCTTATCAGGGTTAGACTCTGGGGGTGGCCGAGCACCGAGGATCCTAAATCGTTGTTCTGCCGGGGGTATCTCAATGGGAACGTTCTGCCCGCTCCGGGCTACGTTGACACCAACAACGAGCTATGAATACCTGAATTATTCGGTACACCTTATCGTAAACATAGTATTTATTTTATTTATTTTTTTTTATTATTAATCTACGAACATTCTAAACAAATTTTACATTATTGTGTTCGAATCGATCGACTCTTCAGCGAGGTTTCATCTACTAAAGTAGTGACCCGTTCGAATAAAACAATGTAAAATTATTTTAGAATGTTTGTAGATAAATTCGGATATATATACATTTAGAAAAGTAGAAATTTATTACAGGTTTTAATAGATTAACCCTTTAATGGTGTTTGACGAGTATACACGTCATGTGAAAAAATGAAGTACCTTTTGCTATAAAAATTGAAAAATATATTTCTTTTATTAGAATAAAGAGATCAAAGAGTTATACATTTCCACCGTTAACGGGTTAAAATAATGAAATATCAGACAACGATCCAAATTTATGTTCCTGTAATAGAATTTGCACAATCAGTAATTCGGCATTTTCTACTCGAAAATCTTATAAGATTCAGCCTCAATGAAAACTTTAGTAAGGGTTAATAACTCTTAAAAACAATTCAGTCAGGGTCCTATCTGCAACATATGCTCAAACACGTTTTCTTATATTTCGGAAGATTCGTCGTCCAATTAAGTCTTCGCCTGCAGCTCTAATAAGACCTCCATTAGCGTTCAAGTGATTCGAACCGTGTTGTCCCCCGAATGTTCGGATCAAAGGGGATCTAAAACGGCGTATAACGAAAGAATACCGTAGCTTTGGTCGAAAGCCAGACCCAGTCCGTGAACGATGGAAATCCAGCGCGCGTGGCTTCCGTGAAAACTTGCTAAAACGCGACGGGCCGTGAGCGACGGGGCATAATGCGCGCGATCGACGATCTAATAAGCGTAACGAGACGCTGAGCCAGAGGTGAGTGTTTCGTACAACAGGTGCAGATTTTATCGTTGCACAGATGGTGCGAACCGTTGCCACACGGGCGTGTTTATTTCGAGAGGTCGAATAAACCGGGGAGGTTTTTCGTTGAAAATCCATCGGGTCCGGGGAGCCGTTCACCCGTCTTTCTAATTAGCATCGGGCTCGATGTGTACTGGTTCGTTATCGATGCATTTATAAGTATTAACGACCGTTAGCGGATTCGGCGCAACACGTTGCATGATTTATGTAACTTTTACCCCGTGAAATTTATACTGGACGCAGTCTATTTAATTTCAGCGTGCTCGAACACCTGAGTTTTTATCAACATCGATATTATAATTGTCGAGAGAATTACTTCCAGGTGATTGCGTACACACGATCTGGGAGAGAGGAATGATTTTGGAGAAGAAAAATATTTCTGTTTTTTGATCATTCTTCGGTATTGTTGTTTTTACGACTTTGGTTAGGGAGAGACGATCATAGTCGTCTTTTGTACGTCTACTTACATTTTCTGTGATTTTGAATGTATTGTGGTAACTACTTTCTAGAGTCGGAGGCTTAAAAACTTTCACTTTGATTACTATTCACTCCATATTACATGGATAGGCTCGTGACGTAGCGACCTCTGTTCATTGTTATTTCACTTCATCCCCGGAAACAATGAAATATCTTTCTTTCCGTATCATATTTAACCCTTGGAAACTATTGTCGGTAAAATTATTGTCTATGTGAATTTTACTTTAATACTATAAAAACACGTAGCCATTGGTAATACTAATATTTTAGGTATTTATTCATACTGTCTACCTCTTTCACTTTTGTGGTGAGTACTACTTGATTCACCTTTGTAATTAAGAAATAATATTTCGGCCGTGTATTTCACATCACCTTTAGCTGTTGTTTCGGAATGAAAAGGTAAGAGACGCGTTCATAAAAAGTAAATAGGACAGGGCGCTCTCGCACCATACAGCGAGCCTGTCAACGATTACGTACGCCCAACGCCAATTTGCTAGTTTCGTCCCTGAATTTCGCGACCGTGGTGCGCTAGAGCGCGTGCGTGAGCGTATTTACGTCCTCTGCGCAACTCTGTCCGACATATCGATCATCTATCGATAGTTTTTGCGGTGATCGATATTCGTGGAACCAATCCGATGCGTCTCTGAAAAATCCTATCGAATTTTGAACGAAAACCAGTAGAAAGTTCGTTGCTCGCCGAGCGTTTTGTCGTGAACCTTTGTAGACCTTAACAAACTTCTCATTTTTCAACTCGTGCGTTAATTATCGCAACACTACACGTGTTATGTTTATCGCTTTCGACGCTCAAGTATAATTGTGGTGAAAATCGGCGATTAGTGTAAACGATTTTCGTGATAGCCTAAATCTTTCGTATACGGCACTCTCGACCACCACTTCGCGGCTCTCCAGTGTCCACCGAGGGTACTCGTGTTTTCGTGGAACATTGTTAAGACTCTCAACAATAAACTGTTCCGGCCAAGCCCCGGTGTGTTTTTTCGCTGCAACACCACCTTCACTGCGTATCCTTTTCAGGATAGAAGTAGCTGTCCTAAGGCGGTCGTTTCAACCCAATGTTCAACTCGGCCCACGATAAACTCGCAACATAAACAGGTATGTAATGTCTTTAAAACAAAATTAATCCCTTAATTTCTCAGTGGCAACTATGCCATTTCCCTATGATGTGTAATTTGATCTGAGTAACAATTGTCGATAAGAATTTTCATTCTATCTCATTTACACAGCCGATTATTATCATCTCCTATTATCTCATAGGCATAGCCATGTTATCAATCAGAGGGTGGGGGACAAAGTAATATTTTTCCTCCGGGAAGAGGGGGGCAAAGTCCAATTTTTTTCTTCTAAAGTAGTGCAAATCCGATTTTTTTCCGTTCAGGGGGGGGGGGGGAGCAATTATAGCAAATCCCCCCTGACCCCCTGGCTACGCCCACGTATTATCTCAGGTTTTTGATACTCTCAGAAATTCTCGTGCAA